ACCATTTTTAATAGAATTGTTATTTGTTATATATATATCACACGCTGTTTATTGTCTTTACGTAATAAACTGACACGTTTTTCCCCCGGCGCCTACGTGCCGTTTAGATATTAAGGTCGATAAGTTAACAATAAACACCCATAACAGTTTTTGAAACTTGATCTTTACGTAATAAACTGACATGTTTTTCCCCCGGCGCCTACGTGCCGTTTAGATATCAAGGTCGATAAGTCAACAATAAACACCCATAACAGTTTTTGAAACTTGATAATAGTAGTACATACAAATGTTTAATGAATATGGAAATAGGAATTTCTGAGTTATATTAAAAAACATAAACCCACGATAATGTGTCTCTTTCCTTCTACTGATAACAAATGTCAAAATATATAGCCTTTCCAAATATAGTAACTGACGAGAAGGTTATTTTTAAATCAGATCGATTCGACTGGGTCCTCCAACATATGTGTGCGATCAATGACCAGGTGGTGACTGTATACGGGGAACGACACTGGAAGGAAGCCTTGTCTCTAGCCGCAACTTCGCGCATCTCGCTAACCGAAAGAACGCAGACATGTAAGCGTGAATGATGGAGCGTCGGATCTTAGTACGAAATCGGTTATTTGTCATATTATCCGTTTCAATATTACTTTTTTTTCCAGCATGCCATCCTGAAAAAGACAAACATGTCGGAGTGCTTCGGTAAACAACAAGAGCACGTTTTACTGCGCAAGTATAAACAGAAGTTTTTGTTTAAAAAGTGTGTAAACATTCACTTTGTTGAATATACTTCCATGTTTTCTTCTTACGCACACAAAAATGTTCGTAAAATATATTTTTTTAATTAATCGAATTTTTAGTAGTAGTATACCAATGTTTTATTTCATTGTGTAACATAAGTTTGAGAATCACGAGGTTTAGTAAAGATACATATTAATGTTTAGCAAAGATATACATCACAGTGTTTAGTAAAGATATACATCACAGTCTTTAGTACAGATATACATAACAGTGTTTAGAAAAGATATACATCACAGTCTTTAGTAAAGATATACATAACAGTGTTTAGTAAAGATATACATCACAGTATTCAGTAAAATATACATCACATTATTTAATAAATATATAAATCACAGTGTTCAGCAAATATATACATCACTGTCTTTAGTAAAGATGTACATCACAGTATTTAGTAAATATATAAATCACAATGGTTAGCAAATATACAAATCACTGTCTTTAGTAAAGATATACGTGTCTCTTTTTGCAAAAATATACATCACAGTCTATGGTAAAGATATACATCCCAGTGTTTAGTAAAGATATACATCATAGTGTTTAATAACGATATATATCATAATGTTTAGTAAAGACACACCTCACAGTGTTTAGTAAAGGTCTACGTCTTAGTGTTTAGTAAAGACACGCATCACAGTGTTTAGTAAAGCTATACATCAGTGTTTAATAAAGATATACATTATAGTGTTTTTGAAAGACACACATCACAGTGTTTAGTAAAGATACACATCACAATGTTTAGTAATGATACACATCACGGTTTTTACTAAAGATATACATCATAGTGCTTAGTAAAGAAAAACATCACAGTGTTTATTAAAGATACAGATGCTATTGTTTAGTAAAGATATACATCATAGTGTTTAATAAAGATATATGTATATATAATAGTGTTTAATAAAGATACGCATCAGTGTTTAATAAAGATAAACATTATAGTAATTATTAATGACAGACATCGCAATGTTTACTAAATATATACATCAAAGTGTTTAAGAAATATTCACATCACTGTCTATAGTAAAGATATACATCACACGTATTTGTTGTTTGAAATATGGTCACGCAAAAACACAAATCCATAATAGATCACACACTGGTAGATTAAATACACTCAACGTTCAAGACATTACTTTGATAAGAATTTTCCTGTCTCGTTATTCATTTAAATGTAATGAATTAAAGATGATAACCTTGCAAAATGTGTCCTGTTATCAATAATTAAAAAACAATGGATCTGATGTATGGTTTATGATCTGGATAAGAGACAAAAAGGGTCTAAATTACTTCTGAATGTACCAGTTACACAATAAGGTTTTCACTATTATAATTTTTCATTAAAATTGTCCAAACTGCTCCCTATATGTATACAATAATATCATTATATTTGCCGTGTAAAGAGACCAAAGTATTTCATAGATTAACTATTTCATGTAATTTTCATGTTTTACAATACATTAACTTAGATAGAACGATTTAGTGATAATATAAAGGTTGTACTTGGCTGGTGCAAGTGAAGTGGGACAGAATTTACAGTTTCTCTCAGTTCAATGAACCGTTCAGCCAAAAAGTGTAAATTACCGGCTCTATAGAATGGCATAAGGCAAGGTAAGTGGATTAGTATGAAATAAATTTTTAAATTACATAAAAATACTATGAGGTGGTTTATGCATTTAGTATAAACTTGTCGCTATATTGAGTTGTAAAGGTAAAACACAATAGCGATTATAAAAAAACAATGCTTTAGGTAAGCGGGAATAATTCAATAAAGTTTAAAAAATAAAATAAGAGGCTGTGTTGTACTTTGTTTGTACATTAACATTCTCGTATATCACTCTAGCGTTCCGGACTGTGGATCTGAGGGTAAATCCTTAGCGTCCTGTTGTCTAAAAAAAATCGCATTCCGCTTTTTCTTTTTGTGCCATGGGTGCGTTATAAGAGTGACGGTCAAATCTCACTATTTGATTAGAGTGGTCAAACAATTAGCGGTGGATTATTTTGACTTGCTGTCATCCCTATAGTCTAGCAATTGCAAATTAAGGATGGCTATCACGGATAACCCTTTTGTAGTTTTGCGCAAATAAACACTGAATAGTTAAAGTTCGTTACAAACACCTATGCACAGTCTGGAGAGAAAGATTAGCTTAGCACAACAAAGATATATAATCTGCTATCAAAGCGAAAAGGTGGCTACCTTATTTCAATAGTGTTAAACTAAAACATTTCACTACACTTTCATGGCCCTCGTTATTAGCATCCTCAATATGAAAAGTAGAATCTGAGAAGACTATAGAATACAAGTAAAAGAAACTAGGCTAAATGTTTATTTGCACGTAAATTTGGTAACCCTTGTTCATCTCGTTGAGATAGAAGGGTTTGTTTGTTTGTTTTAATTTCGCGCAAAGCTATACGAGAGCTATCTGCGCTAGCCATCCCTAATTTAGCACTGTAAGACTAGAGGGAAGGCAGCTAGTCATCACCGCCCACCGCCAACTCTTGGACTACTCTTTTACCAACGAATAATGGGATTGACCGTCACATTATAACACCCCCACGACTGAAAGGGCGAGCATGTTTGGTGGGACGGGGATTCGAACCCGCAGATTGCAATTCAAGCGCCCTAACCACCTGTCATGCCGGGCCAAAGAAATAGAAGGGAATGCGGAAGAGACAGATGACTGTTCGGGGGGAAGTTGACCCTTGTTAAGTGTTACAGTCAGTTTCAAGACCACGCCAAGTGTTTAAGAAGTAGCGTCACTGTCAGTTTTATTTTCCTTACCAAACAATTCTGTACAAGGCCTGTTTGTTTCAAACAATTCTGTACAAGGCCTGTTTGTTTCAAACAATTATATACAAGGCTTGTTTGTTCTAAACAATTCTATACAAGACCTGTTTGTCCTAAACAATTCTGTACAAGACCTGATTGTTCCAAATAATTCTGTACAAGGCCTGTTTGTTCCAAACAATTCTGTATAAGGCCTGTTTGTTCCAAACAATTTTATACAAGGCTTGTTTGTTTCAAACAATTCTATACAAGGCCTGTTTGTTTCAAACAATTCTATACAAAGCCTGTTTCCCAAACAATTATATACAAGGCCTGTTTCTTCCAAACAATTCTATACAAGGCCTATTTGTTTCAAATGTACATACATATACCACCTACTTACCTGCACCCATAATCACACACACACACACACACACACACACATACATATTGTTACAAATAAAGCACAGAATATACAAAATTCCATAATGACGTTTATTATTTCTCTTTTGGTTGAAATTCTTGTTTTTGCACCTTTCAATTTTTTTTTCAGTGCAAAACAGATAATATCATCCCTTTCCCGGCTGGCAAAGAACAATTTCACACATGTGCACTGATACTGTGCTGAAACTTACGTCATTAATTAACTAATAACGAAAAGAAAGCTTATCAAGATCTGTTTTGCTTTTTGTGTATTTTTTAAGTTGCCTTTCAGCTTTCAGAAATTTTTTTTTATTCGTTCTAAGAAACTTTTTTATTGCTTGTGCTTAACGGAAGAGCACGTTTTACAGGCGTAATGTGCAGCAATATCAGTTTTAATGGAGCGTTTAAACATATTCATTTACCTCCTCAAAAAATAAAAGGGTAAGAAAATGTAATAAACCAGTGTTTGTGCTCAGATGCATCAGGAAAGCTATTCTTACACGTCAGTTGTCTTTGTTCACGTTTCGCTATATATGTATCTGTTTCCCTTTGACCTTTCAATAAATAGAACATTTCAAGCTGGCAGTCTTTAGATATTTTATGTTAGTAGAAAATGCGATTAAACGCACATATTATTCTTGCCTGCAGGCAGGCACGTCTTGATCTGGTACGGCCGACCTTCTGTCCAGCTTGGCAGCTCGTAGAATTAGGCGAGCATCAACAATGCGAAGCTCGTTCGCCAACAATTCGCCTTAAAGGGACCGAGGTGGTGCATCGTTTTCGAATGCACCCAACTCAAATTGTTGACTAAGATCAGGTGTTGGACACATTCGGCTTTTTAAAACTGTTTTAAACTGTAATCTTATATATTTTACAAGGTTTGTACGTAAACAGTTCCGGACTATTCGCGTCGCCCGGTTGCCATGGTGACATTTACGTAGATTCCCCCCCACGCACACATGTAAGCTCGACAACAGTTGTTTGCTGCGATCCGACTTGCCTTTTGCGCGCCCGATACAGCAGTGGCTTGAGGATAGACACCCTGCAGTTTTCATACAGTGTTTGCAGGTTCCCTGAAAGGTCACTGATGAAAAATTACCATTTCGGTCTCTTCTAAGTTATGTATCAATTCCGAAAATTCTTTACATGGTGAGTTTCTTGAAAATACAGCTCAGGTCCACTACGCAATGTCCTTGTGGCTTTTTTCCCTCTACACGGGGAAAAATGGGTTTGGTCCATACAGGTAAGGTGTTGTTCAATCTGCATGAGAACAGAAAATTGTAGCCTGAAATGTATTTTTTTTTCAGGAAATTCTCTCAACTTTGAACTGCATTATATAATTTCCTCCTTTATCTTTGCTGTAACTTACTTTACCTCCCTTTTTACTTCTATGCTCAACAAATTGCAGATTGATGTACTACTCACATCACTCATAGAAACTACCCTGATGCATCATTCGTATTGGACTTTAAAAACAAAACAGTGCATGTTTTACAACTATTGGTGAAATGTTGTGTGAGTGTATTAAAATGTTCTTACTTTTTGAAAAGTCAAGATTATCAATGGGAGCTATTAATTTAAAAGAAATATATTTAAAAACATCATATTAAAGTTATTATCTGTACTTATTATCAGAAATTAAAAGAAAAGCTTTACATGAACGAACAGTTACATCTTCGTGTTGTTTTGTCTTGCTTAGATGGTAATTTAATCCTATTAAAATGTATTATTTACGTCGTTTCACATATTAGATGTAAGATATTGTTGTAATGTTTGTTCACTTACTTATTAACATACTTAAAATAGAATGTGTGGTTTGTCTTAATGCAAATAATTTTGTGACACGTGTATCATAAACTTTTGAAACTTTGAGCCAACGGGCGTGCCTTGGCGAAGTGGGCTCGCGCCCTAGTCGGGATATTTTGATCAAACTTTATTGTGAGACGTTGGTAACACTAATGACGTAACAGTTCACATGACACAGTAGTACCAATCACATTCAAGATTAAAAGTTTAGCGAGCATTCCAATTTTCATCATTCTAGAATGTCAAGACGCAGTACCAAAACGGAAAATTATCCTTCCTATGGATCTTACAGTGCGATTGCACCAAACAGTTAGCAATACAAGCAATACACGTGACAGCAAATGTCATCTCTATAAAGTGACCAAAACCGGACAAAAAAAAAGTTTCTCTCTTTTTCACTCTGAAAGCAGTATTTGATTACTTGTCTATTTTGATTGGTTATTTTAGAGCAAAGTTATATTGGGATATCCGCTTGTCCACCGCGGAGAATCGACCCCCCAAATTTTTGCGTTGTAACTCCGTAAACTTGCTGCTGACCCACCGGGGGACAGCAATATTTCAATGATGAACCAGATTTAAAATCAGGCTTTGTGAGACTAGACCAATGGTTTCCATCTTCATCATTTGCGCTGTGTAATACTAGAGTAATCATGTCCACCATCATCTTTTTTACTTAACTTAAAAATCCAGAATTGTTTCAGGACCGGGAAGAAGGTTATTTATTTATCTATTTATTTGAAATTAAGCACAAAGCTACAGAATGGGCTATCTGTGCTCTGCCCACCACCGGTATCGAAACCCGGATTCTAGCGTTGTAAGTCCACTGAGGGTGGGAAAAAGCTTTATTTTTTACATTTGAAAACTAGCAAGGACAAGGGAGAAACTCTTTCAACATTATTTTACAAAAGGAATATCCAATATTATTTAAAAATTAAAACTAATAGACATGGTAATGGTTTATAATCACTGAGACAAGTGTTAACATTTGACACTTCTTAAAAGATTAAAGTTCGATATCTTTTACTTGATATTACAAAACTAAAACCGTGCTATCATTTTATATTTGTAAGTAGATATTACCAACTAAAACCGTGCTATCGTTTTATATTTGTAAGTAGATATTACCTATTAAAAAAAAGTGCTATCGTTTTATATTTGTAAGTAGATATTACCAACTAAAACCGTGCTATCGTTTTATATTTGTAAGTAGATATTACCTATTAAAAAAGTGATATCGTTTTATATTTGTAAGTAGATATTACCTATTAAAAAAGTGCTATCGTTTTATATTTGTAAGTAGATATTACCTATTAAAAAAAGTGCTATCGTTTTATATTTGTAAGTATATATTACCAACTTAAACCGTGCTATCGTTTTATATTTGTAAATGGGATTCACACTGTGTTCTGCTCATAAAAATATAATGATTATTAACATTTGATATTCGCAACAAAAATTCATATTAACAAACACGCGTCTTTATTAGCATTTATTACCAAAAAGCATCAACGTTAGTATTTGTCGTCAACACACGTCTACGTCAGTTTTTTTTTTCAATACAATTTTTATTAACAAACGCCTGTATGGTCTTTGTTACCACGAGGCATCTGCACTTGCATTTATTAAGAGCTGTTTACAAATAGAACGATAACGGCAACAATGCGTATAGGTAAAATTGTTCACACGTTATGGTTTGAAAAATATCTACATAAGTTTGTAGAATTACAATGACAACAATGCGTATAGGTAAAGTTGTTCACACGTTATGGTTTGGCGCATACCTGTTTACGTATGTACAAACACAACGACAGTTACTACAATAAGTATAGGTAAAACTGTTGAGGAGTTATGATATGTGACATAATAGTACTGTTTGTACAAACACGCCGATAACGACAATAACACGTATATAGATAAAGTTTTAGTTCGACAAATATCTACGTATACTGATACATACACCAGAACAATATTTCACATGGTGGGTCCCGAATGCCAAAGTGAAATATAAATACATGATCGCTAAACATATTAACCTCACCTAATGAGAAAAACCTTACAGATACTCTCTCCTCATTAACTGTCCTCTAAGAGTTCGCGTTTTCCCTCCAGATCTGTGAAATCTTCGTATAGCGATCAAAACCTACGAACTACCTAAACTAACTCGAAGCTATATCAAATAGTTCTCAGTAATGCTTACAATGTCATGACTCTGGAGCCGGAAAAGTGTTTATTTATAGATAGAAAGTTTTGTTTGTTTCGGATATTTGCAAAGATACTCAAGAGCTACGTGTGCTATCCGTCCATAATTTTGAATTGATAGACTAGAGCAACCACTACAAACTCGATGCTGTAATAGAATAGTGGCATCTGACAGTCACTCTTATAACACACCCATGAGCCCCCAGAGAGCGGTCCGCGGTTTTGCAGTAACGGGACGCAAAACACGAGCCTTCGTATAACCACTAGGTCACTCCTATTACTGAAACAATATATATTCTTCAATAAGGTCCCCCGGTGGAAAAGCGGTAATCCTGGGTTCGATTCCCCCGCGGTGGACACATCGGATAGCCCAATATGGCTTTGCTATAAAAAACAACAAACGAATTAAGTACTTCAGTAAGTATTACTGTACGGAACATTTACTTCAATACAAATTACTCGATGGTGTTAACAATCTCTTACTATTAACGAAGTTGTACTATAAGGTATGACCTAAAAATCTGCCTTAAAAAGATGTGTGACGATCAGAATTATAGTGTACTTTTGTAGACTCATATCAGCTGCATGAAGCCTAAAACCCTGACGGTCAGAATTATAGTGTACTCCTGCAAAGATATATCAGCTTTGTGAAGCCTAGATCCGTGACTGTCAGAATTATAATGTACTTATGCAAAGATATATCAGCTTTGTAAAGCCTAGATCCGTGACTGTCAGAATTATAATGTACTTATGCAAAGATATATCAGCTTTGTGAAGCCTAGATCCGTGACTGTCAGGATTATAGTGTACTTCTGTAGAATTTATCAACTGTATGAAGCCTAAAACCCTGACTGTCAGAATTATATTGTACTTATGAAAAGATATATCAGCTTTGTGAAGCCTAGATCCGTGACTGTCAGAATTATAATGTACTTATGCAAAGATATACCGGAATACAGCCAGCTGATCGTAAGTGTACATATTATACGCACTGTGCAATATATATATATATATATGTCTATTATCATGTAGTTATGAATAATTATTATGATTATTCCAATTTATGTTTGCTAATACTAATATCGTCATTCGTGTTTTTATGTACTGCTGAACATTAAACTAAGTATGAGTCAAACTGTTTTACGTTGACCAACACGTGAAAGTCATGCATTATATACCTACATATGTGTGTGTTACTTTGCGTGATTCATATACCAGGAGAGAGATGAATCACAGTACTTAATAACAAAGAAAAGACAACGGTTTCTCGTGTATCCAGTTTAAGAAGTGTTTTCTCTCTACCGTGGTAAGAAACAGGTTCGATTTTTACAATTAATACATGAACTGTAGGCTATAGCAGGTTTCTCGATCAAAATGAATTTATGATGCACTCTTTATTAGATCCATAGCAATGCAGCAATAACAAGTGCGTAGGTGGAGCTCGCTTGCCTGGTGCTGACGTCAACGAATGTGCTTTAGTGACGTCAGAGATACCGGATGTTTCTGAGCCCCACAGATTTTGTAAGCGTGTTCTTTAAAGTTCATAAAAATTAACTTAATATAAAACATATTATATATTAAGGAAATATATGTTCTTTATTTCTTGTTCCTACGACTATTCATTTCTGCTTTGTGGCTTGGATATATTGAGATGTTGAGATCAGTGTTAACCTGAACCTTAGAAACTCACCTTTCAAATCCTTAGAAATATAACCCGTTATACTAAACTCACCCACTGCAACAAGTAGACTAAAATGATTACAGTAAACAATACCCGTGGTAGCAAGTATACTAAAACATTTACAGTAAACACCTTCGTTGGAACAAACAAACTAAAACACACGCGTTGCAACAATTAGACTAAAACATTTACAATAAACACCTCCTTTGGAATAAACAAACTAAAATACAGTAAACACACCCGTTGCAAAAACTAGACTAAAACAGTTACAGTAAACAAGCCCGTTGTAACATGTAAACTAAAACAGTAACAGCAAAAACCTCTGCTGTAACAAGAAGAGTAAAACGCAACATACGTTTTGTCGAAAACTCGCATTCCAGCAACAGAACAAAGAAACAAAATTTCAGTTTATTTTAGCTGATCTTTAATATCGGCTTCAGTTATAACTGTAATAAGACGATACGTTTTGCGATAAAGTTTTAAGATCATTGAACCAACTGCAGATTTGCCCACTCCAAAGATGAACACCTCCTAGTGGAGGCTGTTGGAACTATATA